CGTCCCTTGTGGGCGCGAGAGAGACGGCGACGAAAACGACCTCGCGGAATCAGTTCGCTCCGAACTTATAGTGGTTCGTCGTTCTGTCTCTCTCGCACTCGGTGTGAAAGCGGCGAGGCGGCTAGTGTTCGGAATGTTTGGGCCCCTCCTTGGGGCTGCCACCACTTGTGTACTCCGTCCCAAAGCGGTGTGCAGCCGTTTACCCCCTCCTTGAAAGCTGCCTTGCTTCCGGTGCTGCTAAGCATGAAATGGCCGATGTGTCCGCCTCTCGCTTTCGGTCACGAAAAGCCTTCCCCATCATCGACCCCCTCCCCTCCCCGTTCCCTCTCCCGATCCCTTGCAGCAACCGCAGCAACCGGTCCTCGGTGCCGTTCCACCGCCTCACCACTCTTTTTCCTCCCCCTATCAGTCAGTCGAAACCCCCCGCCGCCCCCGGGGCCCCCCCCCGGTTCCTTTAGGTTTTAATTTCAGGGGGGGCCCCCCCTAACGGGGTTTCCCCCACCGGGGTTTATTTCCTGTGGTTGGGTTTTTGGGGTTTTGTGTGTTTTTGAGGAAGGGAAGGGAAAAAATAAATGGTTTGGGAAAAAGGGGGGAAATTTGGGTGTTTGGGGGGGGGGGGAAAGGGGGGATCCCTTTTTGGGTCGTTTCGATTTTGTGTGTTGGGGGGGGTTGGGGCCCGGTTTTTTGGGGTGTTGGTTTTATGGTTTTTTACCCGGGGGGGAAAGCCCCCCACCAATGACCCCTCCCCCCCCCCCCCCCCCCATCTGTTTGGCCACAACCCCGGGGTCCCGGGTCGGGGCAACCCCCCCAAAAGGGGGGGGGGGGGGGGCCGGGGGGGCCGGGGAGGGGCGGGGCGGGGCGGGGCGGGGGGGGGGGGCGGGGCGGGGCGGGGCGGGGCGGGGCGCAGGATGTGGGCTACGTCGGCCACGCTGCGCTGGAAACGCCTTATGGATCAGTGAACGGACACCCTCATTTTTATCCGACCGCGGGAGTACAGGATATAGACGACGGCGTCCCCCCCCCCCCCCCCTTTCCCCCAACCCCTTCGCCCTCTCCGCCCTCCTTACAGCACCTGCCCAGCTGGCGCCAGGCCAGGGCCGAACCGCAAGCCCCAATGCCCCAACGCCACAGAGCAAGTATGGAATATCTCTACGTGCCGGTTGCCCCCCGGTGCCCCCACTGCCTCGCCTCAGGTACCCTGCCCGCTGTACGTGCCCTAGAGGGTCTCTAACGTGCCTGCCTGCGTGGCTGGCTGCCTGGCTGCCTGCCTGCATGGCTGTCTGCACGCCCGTCTGCCCTTCCCGTCCTTGATCCTGGCCCCGGCTGGCCCCGGCTGGCTCGCTGACTGTCTGGCTCGCCGTCTCGCTGGCTCCGGCCGGCTGTCGGATACGTCACGACGTCGCAGCCTCGGAGCTAATCTGTCCCTGTCACTGCGCCGCGTCACTCCCCCAGCGATTAGCTCGTTCGATTAATCGAAATGCTATCGCCATCGAGTCATCGAGCGCGGTCGGCGCGTTATTGACAAAAGGCGGCGATGTGGCGCTGCTCAAATATTCACGACTCGGTAATGGGCCCGCTCGGAGAATGGCAGAGCACTGGAAAAGAAAAGTCAAATCGGCTGAAGTTTAAAATCGTAGTTTCGAAATGGATCCTGTGTTCGCGGTCGTCCAGGACGGCTCGCCACGCCCTCCCCTTTTTACTGCCGGGGGCGTTCCCGAACTCGATGGATCCCACTTTTTCGTCTCCACTTTTTGTTTTTGTTTTATTGGTTGCGCCTGGAGGACTGCTGAGTGAGAAATTACAACTTTGCGTCTTGTCAACTTTCCAGACGGGGCAGCTGCGGTGCGCTTTCTCCTCAAAAAATGAACAAAAACCAAAAACAAAACAACGACCTTGGACTGTCGCGCCGCGCCTCCCCGCCAACGAGCTCGTCTTCTGCAGTTTTATTGCCTTATTTTCTAACCTGATTCCTCATTTCTCCGACTGCACCGCGAGGAAGAAAACGCAAAAGAAGTCGGAATGAGGGAGGCCGCGTAGCTTTATCTCATTAGTGTCAGTCACAGTGCCCCAGACCTCAGGGAACCTCGGGGAGAAAAGTAACAATAGCAACAACAACAGCGGAAACTACGTATGCACCCTGGGGAAAGGCACTGTGTCCGGCCGCTCAACCGTCCCCTCCGGTGCTTCTCTCTCTCTCTCTCTCTCTCTCTCTCTCTCTCTCTCCTCTCTCTCTCTCTCTCTCTCCCCCCCCCTCCCTCTCGCACTGCCGCCTAACAAAATCCAATTTATAGAGAGACAAAGATCGCCGCGGCGCACCGGACCGCACCGGGCGAATAAAAGGACGCCACTGCGCGGTGTCAAGCGGCGCGCTGCGTCCGCGCGGGGCTGTCGTCGCGTCGTCTCGCTCGCACCCACGGCGCGGCGCACGGCCAGGGCCCGGCAGGCGCAGGGGTGCGAGCGAGACGAGGGCGCCGAAGTCCGGCCGAGCGAGGCCCGCTGGCCAGGCCGGGCGGCACGGACGAGCCAATCTGGATGGGGATACGCGCCGACAGCGCGGCGGGGTTTGTCACGTGATTTCGAATACATCGGTCGCGCTGCTATGGCTGATTCCGAACATGGCGCTTCTTCGCTCTGTCTCCCTGCGTTTCAAAATTCACAATTTTCAAAGTGCACAATAAACTACTTAGTAACTTAGCGTGAACAGTAGAATGCGGCCTTGCTGATGGAGGACGAGGGCTGGCAAGGAAAGGGTCGAGCATGAGACCCCAACATAGGCCACTTTTGGACACCCCCTTCCCCTCCCCCTTTCTCTCATTGACCTAGATAAACCTTACCTTCCCATGTATTTAAGATGGGGGTGTGACTTTTTCTGCCCCCACCTCCTTCTCCCCTAAATGGGTCACGTGGTATATGCACGACCCCTAATCACGGGGGTAACCAGGGCAATGTGTGTGGCGGGCCGGGCCGGGCGGCCGGGGCTGCGGGAAGGGAAATCACAAGGCGAGAATGCTTGCACATTAATGACTTCATAAATACGTGGACGCCGCCCGGGTGCCGCTACACTGCAGCCTGCAGCGCCAGGCGAAGCCAGCCGCAGCGGTTACTGCGGCAAAACGCTGCGGCTCGCGCCAATTCGCCCCGAGGAGCGCGGGATGGCGCGACGATTGTTGTTTGGGGCGACGCGGTGTGGGGAACGGACAGCGCCCCGCCTTCGGCGCCTTCCCCGGGCCTTGCCGGGCCTTGCCGGCACACCGTAGGGGCGCAGAGCACGGAGCGAGGAGCACGCCGCGCGCGTGGCAGTCGGAGAGCCCCGTTCCGTTTAATGCTTCTCCCTTTCCTCGGTTTCCTTCTCTCAAGCTTTCGCCTCGCTCAGCGCGGCGAAGCGAGGCGCCCTCACGTGGGCGGGGCGCCGCGGGGCACACCGATGCGCCATCTGTCCGCACAGGATAAGAAGTTTGGCAAGTAATGTCCTTTCCCTGTTCCCGCCGCAGCCTCACGTCCGCCGTGGCACAGTGGGCCAGAGGACTGGTGCAGGCGGCCAAAGCTCTAGACGCGTTTTGAGCTCCCGAGTCGCTAAATGGGACTCGAACCGAAGGCGTGACCCCATCAATGGATTCCTCGTTCGGAGAGCAATCCATTGGTGGGGTCACACGTTCGGTTCGAGTCCTATTTAGCGACTCTGGAGCTCAAAACGCGTGCGGGATTTTGACCGCCTCCACCGGTCTTCTGGCCCACTGTGGTGCAGCAGGGCCACGGAGGACGGCAGGCAACACGCCGCTGTCGTGTGTGTGTGGCGGCCCGGCGGCCGGCCCACCCTCGCCCTCGCCAGGGCCTCAGCGCTCGGCGCGCGACGCAGTGCATGCGGTGCCATCGATCCCGGATCTCTTTAAAAACGAACGGGGTAACGGAGTGAAGCGCGGCCCAGGCGTTTACGGCACCGCCACGTCGGCCACGTCGGCCAGGTCGTCCGGGTGACAGTGTGGCGACAGATTGAGTTCGGCACGTTCCAAATGGTGCCAATGGAGCCGGGCCAGCAAACTTGCCGGCGGACCGAGCGGCGGACGTAGTGCCATCACTGGCTGCTGGCTGTGCCCTGGTCGTGCTGTGCCCGAATAGCATGGAAGTCAGCTGCGATAGCCGGCGGAGTGGAGCGCCCGAATGGCATATTGTGTGGTCTAGCCCTTAGTGGTAATTGTAATGGAGCGCCCGGACCGCAGGCAACACGTGCACAGCTGTGCGCGCCGGGCTGCCTACCCGCCGACTGGCAGGCGGCGGACGCTCGGTGCCCGCTTCACCGCGCTTCGCCGCGTTTCTCCGCCTCGCCTCGGCGTGAGCAGCAGACAGATTCCGAGAGTCGCTTTCGACGTTCTGTCCTTCTCGCACCCATGGGGCGTCCCTATCGGAGCCACAACGACGGAAGCGACTCTCAGTGTGCTGGACGGGGAGCCGGAAGCGGGGCTTGACAGTGGTCTTCTTTCCTTTGCTGCAGGTCCGGCAGGGAAGTCCCGATGGAGAACGGCGTGGCGGGCACCGGCCCCGGCGGAGGCGGCGGCGGAGCTGGCGGCGGTGGCGGCAGCCTCGTCACCAAGGTGCTCAACAAGCGCACGGAGAGCGTCCGGGACATGAAGGCGGGCGACGCCAAGCCCAAGAAGGGCAAGGAGAACAAGAAGGAGTCTAACGCCGGCCTGGCGCAGCCGCCCCTGCAGCCGCGCGGCAGCACCGGCAGCTGCACCAGCGCCACCTCGGCCACCACGCCGGGCGCGTCCGGCGAGGCCAAGGAGGCCAAGGAGGTCAAGTTCCGGGACCCGGAAATCCCGGACGACGGCGCCGACGGCAGCGGCGCGCCAGGCTCCCCCAAGGTGCCGCACAAGTTCATCTCCAACTGGAAGCACGCGTGCGACAAGACGCGCGACCGCACCAGGGACCTCCTCAAGCGCTGGAGGACGGCGCCGGAGGGCATCGGGGAGACGGGCGGCGAGGGCGGCGGCCCGGGAGGCAACGGCCACGCCGACGGCCAGCAGCACCAGGGCGGCGGCTGGAGCGTCCACGTCTGGGGTGAGTGGAACGAGTCAAACCAAAAGCATTTTTTTCCGCCCGACTGCTTTTGTCTGTCAAAGTGCCTTTTTCAAGCTGCTAAGAAACGGCTTAGCTCGTGACTCAGTGGTAGCACCGCTTTTAAGACGGTTTATTGGGCCGTGATACGTAAGACTGCCTCACCCAACGCGTCTAGAGCTTTGGCCGCCTCCACCGGTCTTCTGGCCCACTGTGCGGGTGGGGCCAGCGGGGCGTTGCCTGGCAGGGCAGGGCGGGCACTGGCGGGGCGTTGGGCCGTTGCCTGGCGACGCGGCGGTCGAAGCGCCGCGGGGGACGCGGTGTCGCGGACAACTTGCAGCGGTGCAGCGATGCAGTGACGGCCAATTTTCACCGAGTCAACCCACCGTGGCGGCCTGGTCGAATCCCGATCCCGAAGAACATACCGTCATTTCCCCCTCTTCTTTTGGCATTTGGGCGAGGTCCCGGGGCAACATCGGGCGCGGCATCTGTGTGAAGCACTCTTGAAAGACTGCAACAAACGCGGGAGTGTGTCGTTGCGAGCGCGAGCCGGCACTCCGCGGCGCGGGGCGCGTCGAAACGAGGCTCGCCGTGTGATGTCGGGGGCGGCACCGCGCGCCACTCAGACGCAGAGGGCTCGGAATGAAAGGAAGCAAACGGAAGCCGGTTGGGAGAACAGCCGACTGATGCCGCGCCGCTCTGTCGCGCGCCCGTCTCTCTCACGGGGGTGTTTCCCGAAGGAGTGCGAGAGAGAAAACCAGTGTTCTGAATCAGCGTGCAGGTGTTGCTTTTAAATCACGCTGGGTGTCTGGAGGAACGGTGGGAATAACGCCTCGCCTTGCCTCGCCTTTGCTTCGCCCCTCGCTGCTGTTCTTTCTGTCCTTTTCCACTCCCGGCGGCCTTTTCGATCAGCAGTGCTTGCCGGCCCACCCCGTTCGAAGGGGGTGGGGACAGCCTGGTTTACGACGCCTCTCTCTCTTTCTCTCTCTCTTCTTTCTCTCTCCGTCTCTCTCTCTCTCTCTCTCTCTCTCTCTCTCTCTCTCTCTCTCTCTCTCTCTCTCTCTCTCTCTCTCTCTCTCTCTCTCTCTCTCTCTCTCCCTTTGGCGCACGGCACGGCGCGCGAGGCCGGCCGCGGTATCGTGACCGCTCGTCCCGCCCCGCTCACCCCAAACAGTACACTGCCGGCACAGCGGGCTACGCTGGTTTTGTCGCTCATGCGGCACCGCGCCCCGTAAAGGGAGGGAGGGAGAGAGAGAGAGAGAGAGAGAGAGAGAGAGAGAGAGAGAGAGAGAGAGAGAGAGAGCGGGAGAGAGGGCGAGAAGGAGCGAGAGAGACGGCGCGACAGTTGCGTTCGGAATCGGCCCACAGCCCCCTTTTCCCAAGTTCGCCTAATTAAGCGACCGAAAGTGGGCAAGCAACGAGCGAGGCGTTTACCCTGCCGGCCGACGGGCCGACGCACACAGGCCGTAAAGCGGTCTGAAAGCGGCTGAAAGCCAAAACGCGGTCCGCCTGGCCTGGCCGCCCCGGCAGCCTTTTCCACTGCGAGTCGAGTAGTACAGTCGCTGAGCGGCGCAGTCTCGTTCCGGTCACCGGCAACTCACCGGCCGGGCCGCCCCGACCGAATCACTGTCCCCTTGTCCCTCTGCGTTTCCGTCGATTCGCGAGGCCTCCATTCTCCATTCCAGCGTAGGGGCCGTCCGGCCGACCCAGGCCGACCCGCCGCCGACCCTTCGGCCGGCCCGTGCCCGAGTCACGCGACCGCCATCGGAGGCGCTCGAAGTGCCGCGCCTGAAGCTCGGAGCGCTGCGGCCGGCCCGCCTGGTTAGCATGCGTCGTACAGTGGGCCAGAAGGCCGGTGGGGGCGGTCAAAATCCCAAATCCCAGACGCGTTTTGAGCTCGAACCGAACGTGCGACCCTGCCAATGGATTCTTCGCTGGGAGAGCAATCCATTGGTGGGGTCACACGGTCGGTTAGAGTCCCATTTGACGACTCTGGAACTCAAAACCCGTACGGGATTTTGAGCACCGGTCTTCTGGCCCACAGCGCGTCGGCACAGCCGCGCTGGCCTCACCACCCTTTACCACGACTCATCCTTCTTAATCTCAAACTAGAATGTTTGTTCCCTTTTCCCACACTTGCCCGCCTGAGATTAAAGTCGGGCTGTGACGGCGGCTCGCCTGCTTCCGCCTCGCCTTCTCATTTCTGCCACTCGGCTCGGCTCGGCTCGGCTCGGCTCGGCTCGGCTCGGCTCGGCTCGGCTCGGCTCGGCTCGGCTCGGCTCGGCTCGGCTCGGCTCGGCTCGGCTCGGCTCGGCTCGGCTCGGCTCGGCTCGGCTCAAGGTGCGGCGCGCCGCCGAGCCGCTACGTCGGTTAATTTTAATTAACCCCAACTTGCTCGGCCGGCCGGGGCGGCGCCGGGGCGGCCGGGACAGGACTCTCGGCAGGACTGCCGACCGCGCCGCATTATCCCTGCCGGCCGGCCAACCCCGCCGACCCGTTGGGCCCGACACTCGAAAAACCGGCAAGTCGCCCGCAAGCCGCGCCCCGCCAAGAACAAGATCGACTCAACTGCAAATTAAGACGGAGTAATGAAAATTTTACTCTGGACTGAGAGGGCCGCCCTCTTTGTGGCAATCTTAATTTTTGTTTAATTTTTTTGGAGGCCTGAGATGATTAGTTTCAAAGCTTTGTGATTATATTACTTTTGACAGTTTCCTGAGGAACGTGTTTTCGTTCGAGGGAAGCCTATCTTTTTCTCAGACTTGTTGCGAATTAGGTGTTTCCATGTATACTCGGAGCTACACTCATTCGTGCGACCAAGGCCCCTCTTGGAGTGCTGCTATCTATAAGCCCTGCTAGCGATCGGTACACTGTAGAACTTAAGCGTTACTCTATGCGTGGAGTCAAGCATAGAGTAACGCTTGAAGACGTTACGCTTGAAATGAAGCACACTTGGAAAATTCCCGCATGCAATGAGATAGGGGGAATGTTGGCCGATGAGCCTGTTACGCTTGTTTTCAAGCGTAAACTGATTAAGCTTGAAAACAGAGGGTAATACTACGCTTTAGTTATACCAGTGTAGCGGCCGGCCCTTTCTATTTTCGTAGTGTATTGCGACCCCACACCTCCGCCTGTCCTGGAGAACCTCCAAGGGCCGCAGACCGGCCGCAGACCGGCCGCAGACCGGCCGCAGACTTGCTAAGTTTGTGGAGTTCGGCAAAAGGCAAACAAAGCAAGGCAGCGCCGACGTAGCCGCGACTCCACACCGCGATCTGCTGCGAAAATCCCTTTTGTTTTCTTTGTTTCCTTGCCCTTTATTTTTCCTCTTCTTTATTGCGTTGGCGCATCGGGGAGGGGGAGCGATGAATGGAGTATAGAGGCGACGGCACATCATGCAGAGAGGATGATCGGCAAACACACGGAGAGGCTAGAGGCCCGCACGTACTCGGACGTGTGTGCACACACACACACGCACACACACACCCGTGGTCTCCGAAATAGCATTTCAGTCTCTGCGATTCGCTCCGCAACCGTGCACTTACGAGGCCGCGTTCTTTCGGCGCTCTAGATGGGGAAAAATAAGTAAACGATAAAGGAAAAAAATTAAAACGCGCTAAACACACACGCACACACACACACCCACGGCAAAGACGGTTCCAGGCAGAGACATGGGCAATTTTCAGGGGAAAACCCGGGAAAACCACAAACCGGTTTTGCCTGCTAAAAAATTTTTAACAGAGGAAGCGGGCGTGATTGGTGGCGAAGCGAGCCCTGGCGAATCGCTGCAATCACTGCAGGGATGCACCGGAGGGAGCTTTGCAGTTCGTCAGCGCTGTAAGGCGAAGGGGGAGGGGAGGGGGCGGCAGACTTTTCGTGACGAGGACGCAAATAAGTGGCGCCCCGCCGCACTCCGCGCAGGCAAGGCCGGGCAAGGCCGGGCAAGGCGGGAGCAGGACAGCTCGTCCCAGCCAACTCGCCCCGCGTCCCACTCGTCGCACAAATTGATGACATTTTCATCGAAGGTCCTATACTTCTTGCATGGGCGTGACTACAATGTCACCAATTGTTTTAATGACGTTGTTGTAAGGAAAATTAGCCTGTAAATTGTCATCAAGTGACGACTCTGTGTGTACCAGGTGGCTCAGAAACCCCGCGACAAAATGATTGCAGGCTACACGCCTGCAGCCGTGCGTGCGGGCTTGCCTACGCTCCGGTCTGCGGGCGCCGGGACGCTCTAGGGTGGCCACTCGTCCATGACGCACTGTCCACCGCGGACCGCGGCGCTGTCCTTCGCGCCAGGGCGCTGTCCTTCGCGGCGCGCTGTCCTTCGCGGCACGGCACAGTCCGCGGCGCTGTCCGCGGCGGACAGCCCCACGGCGACGGCACTGAGCCGCCACGCCCGCGCCGGCGTGGACAATTGATGACATTTTCATCGAAGGTCCTATACTTCTTGTAAGGGCGTGACTACAATGTCCCCAACTGTTTGAATGACATTGTTGTAAGGAAAATTAGCCTGTAAATTGTCATCAAGTGACGACTGTAGACGCATATTGAGTTCACACTTCAGTTTGCAGAGTGGTGCCGCCTCGGTACCGCGTCGCTTCCCCCGTGTGCCTCGCGGTGTGCTGACGGCGCTACTTCGGCCGCGCGTTCGCGCCCCGCCCGCCCCGTTGCGCCTCGCTCCGCGGTCTTCCAGATGGTCGCCCTGCAGACTGATTCCGAGAGTCGTTTTCGTCGCTCTGTCTTTCTCGCACGCGTGGGGCATCCCGTAAAGGTGGGAGAGAGACAGAGCGACGGAATCGACTCTCGGAATCAGTCTGCTGTGGCGCGGCTTGGAGGGGCTGCGCAGCCGAGAAGAGCGGTCTCATCGTAGAGCCCCTTGAGTGAGACGGAGACAGAGCGAGGAGACGCTCTGCAGCCCCTCGCACGTACGCCCGGCACGGCCCGGCCGGAATACGCTGACCACCACCCTGACCACGCGCCACGCACGCGAAGCTTGCACACTGCGCACGCACCGCGCTCCCTCGCGGCCTGGGTCAAGAGCTGCAAAATCCCAGGGGCTCTCTCTCTCTCTCTCTCTCTCTCTCTCTCTCTCTCTCTCTCTCTCTCTCTCTCTCTCTCTCTCTCTCTCTCTCTCTCTCTCCCTCTCCCTTCCCTCCCTCCGACGCCTCGAGAGTGCGACAGAGACAGCGCCACGAGCGAGGAGAGCCGCAACGGTCGCTCCGTCGGCACTACTTTCTGCTCTGCCAGCGCCAGATTTGCATAGGCGTTTTTCTAGCGTCAACAGAACCACTCAGTGAAGCCAATCGGAGTGCGGCCAAGTGAGAGTGAGGCTGATGTCGTGCAGCTACGCTGGCGCACGGAGATGCATGAAGAAAAGCCGAGCACATTCTGTGACGTGTCCTCGAAATTGTCTCGTGGAAGATTTGAAACGACCAGGCCGTGACGCGATGCCAGGGGAAGTTCCGGCCGGTTCCGCCAGCCTGCTCGGCGAGTCGCTCAACAGGACTCGAACCGACCGTGTGACCCCACCAATGGATTCCTCGTTCGGAGAGCAATCCATATGGCGACTCTGGAGCTCGAAACGCGTCTAGAGTTTTGGCCGCCTCCACCGGTCTTCTGGCAAGTCCACTGTGCACCCCCATCTCTCTGCAGCGCTCTGCTCTGCCTTGCAGCCACGTGGGTGAAGCGGCTCCCCAGCGAGGAGGAGGGCTTCCTCAAGGACCGCGAGAACTCGGCCGCGCTGCTGTCGCCCGTGCAGCGCGAGAAGCTGTCGCAGTGCTTCGCCCACCTGCTGGACTCGGACCGGGACGACATTGTCACGCGGCAGGACTTCGAGAACCTGAGCGAGGTAACACTGCTAAAAAATGGTCTGTACATTTACAGAATTCGTCCCCAGTCCCAAACTTGAAAAACATGAGTCATTCCTCCTCGTCCCACTCAGTCCCACTCGAATCTCGAAGAACATCGCGCCACCTGCCCAGCGATTTAGGAGAGCGGTCAGTCGATCTGTCTCTCTCGGACAACAACGGAGTGCCCTGTGAGCGCGAGAGAGACAGAGCGACGAAACTAATCTTCCGAATCACTCTGCTGGCGTGGCGTCGCGGTGCTTGTGACTCGGATTACCCGCCGCCTCCTTGGAGTGGCGGGACGAGGGCGAGGACCACTCCACTGCGGAGGATTGCGCCCCGTCGAAGTGGCCTTGGCAGATGCGGCGCACAGTCGGTGTCCGCCCACCGTCGTCCAAGGACTCCTTCGTTATTGCTTGAAATTCGTGCCCGTCTTTCGTTTCACCGTGCGGACCAGCGCGTCGTTCCACAACGCACACACTTTCAAAATTTGTTGTCACCTTGTGACGAAGATTCCCGTCACTTGCGGATGATGACAATGTCATCACAAAGTGATGACAAAGTCGACGCGTTCTAATAGAATAATCCTAACTGCCAGGGTAGATCCAAGACAATACTGTCAGAGCAGATCCAAGACAATCCTAACTTTTCTGGCCCACTGTGCACCGCTCCCTTTCTCTCTGGCAGTGTACGTGCCGCAGAGCTGCAGAACTACAGACGACATCGCTCGCGACTATTTCCATTCATAACCGCGAAGCGCGACGCGCCCGATGTGGCCGTGCTAATGGCGAGCCCGATCACGCCATGCACCTTCACGACACCCCCCCCCCTCTCTCTCTCTTCTCTCTTTCTCTTCCTCTCTCGGCTCGGCGGGGCGATAAGATTACGTACTCGCTCCGTCCGCGGCGGATTGATTCCAAGACAACACAAACAGTCGCGTCGTGCCGGCCGGCCGCAGTAGTGCAAGTTCAGTGCAAGTGCAGTGCAAGTGCAGTGCAGTGCGTGCATTCCCGCGTCGCCGGGCAAAGAGCCCGCCGTCGAGGCTCGCGTGCCCCCCCCCCCAGCAGGCCCCGCCGCCGAGGCCAGCCGGCCGGCCGCGCTGCGCCGCCGCCGCCTTGTCTATGGCGGCCCCTCACTGCCAACAACGACCGGCCCTGGCCGCCCTGCCGCCCCGGTAGCGTCCGCCGTCTAGCTTCTAATCCACCGTCGGGGAATCTTGGAGTCGACCGGCGTGGGGCCGCACTCGAAGCTCAGAATGGCGCCGGCGCCGGCCTCCGTGGCGTCGCGACTGGGCCGCGACTGCGCGCTTTACGGTGTGCTGTACGGCCTGCTGTGGTGCGCGCAGCCCTACATGCCCTACTCGCGGTCCCACCAGCACGAGCAGGTACTGCTTGGCGTGCACAGCGCTCGCCGCGGGGCGCGTGCCGCGGCACGGGCGTGCGTGCGCCCCGAAGGCCGCGGGGTTCAGTGACCAATGTCTATATTTTTCTAAAAAAAAATTCTATTTTCTATGTCTGTATTTCGTCGTCTTCACTTGACCCGCGACTCTCTGTCCCGCAGAGGCTGCGCCACTTCGCGGACTGGTCCGACAACTCGTCCGAGTACCACATCCTGCGCGAGGTGGAGCACAACTTCGTGGCCACGTTCCTGGACGGCCCCGAGGACGCGGCGGACGCGCTGGGGCTCGGCGGCTTGGCCTCGGGGCTGGCCTCGGGGCTGGTTCCGGACGACAGCATCGTGGTGTGCCCCACGGGCGAGCGCGAGCGCGTGTGCAGCCTGGAGCAGTGGCTGTCCCGGTGGGGCACCATCCTGGACCAGGCCAAGACCTTCAACGAGCTGCCCGTGTGGCTGCAGTACTTCCCGCGGGTCATGTTCCAAGTCATCAACAAAAGTGGTAAACAAAGTGGCGCGGGGCGTCGTGCGGCCGTAACTTAAAACCGGTCCGTGTTTCCGGCAGGGAAGCTGCGAGGGGGTGACCCACTGTCAAATTTTGTGCACAATGATTTAGGGTGGCGAGGCGCCTCTGCGTCGCGTGTAGGCCGATTCCGGCCAGTCGGGGTGCCGCTCTGTGTCTCTCGCAGAGCGGGGCGCGCCATAAGCGCGACGGAGACTGTCCGGAATCGGCCAACAGGCCTCCTTCTTAACGTCTTGGACCACCGACAGCATCTTGACCTTTGAACTGAACTCCAACCCGTGTCCACCCACAGGGAGCGGCGTCGTCAGTCGGGACGAGCTCAGCGCCTTCTACTCGTCCGTCCTCGGCCTGGGGGCGCAGCGCGTCGGGGAAGTCCTGGACGGCGCGTACAAGGCCATGACAGCGGTAGGTAGATGCCCGGCCCGGGCCCGGCCTGGGCGCCGGGAAAATTGTAAATTAAAACTGTCCCAAGCGAGGGGCCCTGCGGCGGGGCTGCTTTTCGGGGTCGATACCAGACCGTGCTCGTCGAAAGATGGGAAACGTCTCCTGGCGAAACGCGACGCGAAACGGCGGGCGGCTCCCTGGAAGTTCCAGGGAAGTTCAGCGGACCGGCCTGAGGAAGGCGGGACAAGACAAGAAGCCCCGTCCTAGACGGCGTCATCGACACTGCAAGAACGTGCTGAGAGTGAAGACTTTTTTCTGTGACCGCAGTGGCGCGCCACGTGCGTCGTCATCCCCGTCAAACTTTTCGGCCGCAAAATGTTGGGGCCCCGGCCCCACGCGGTGGACAGCCCGGGCCGGGCCGGGCAGGGAGGACAGGCGGGACAGGCGGGACACGGGTTGCGTTGTGTCGCGTCGAATTATCGGATGCCAAATGACAATTGAGCCGAGTGCGACGGCTGGCCTGCCCCCTGCCCTGCCCGCACGCCCCTGCCCCGCGCCCCCCATGGCCCGTTCGGTGCATTGCATTGCAACGGACAGGACAAGAGTCTATCTGTCGAGCCGCAGTGACACAGGCAGCGCCCCGCCGCCCGGGGGCGGCCTGGTGACCGAGTAGGTGGTTTGGCGGCGGGGGTGTCCGATTACAGCCCTCGCTCTCCCTCTTCCCCACCTAACGCTGCCACCCCAGCCGGATGTGTGTCGCGCCGACGACGTCAAGGACTTGTCACTTTGGATGGACACGTCGACCGACCAGTGGCCGACCGCCGCCGCCCAGCCGTCAGGTCTGGGCAGGGACGACTGGGGCATGACTCGCAGGACTCGCAAGCACGGATCTAGATACAGTGGGGAGGGGGGGGGGGGGAGGACTGCTCCCTTGGCAACTTTTTCCTGATTTGATTCGATTTTGTTTCGAAAAATAATTGAAGGTTCGATTCTAATTGGATTCGAAACGAAAATCCTTGATCCTACTCTCTGTCCCTCTCCCGCAGAACGGCGACCACCCGCTGTGCTTCCCCGCGTACCGCTGGTGCTACGCCAACTTCCTGCTGGGCCGGCACCGGAACGGGCCGGGCCAGTACCTGTTCGGGCCGGGGGAGCCCGCCGACCTGCGCAGCTGCCCCTTCCCCGTGGACTACAGCGCGCTCAACACGGCGCCCGAGGAGCTGGAGCAGTACTCGCCCGACAGGAAGAGCAACCGGCGGTCCGTGGTCGTCTGAGCCTCGGTCTGAGCAGTCCGAGCGTGCCGAGAGGGCCTGCAGGGCCTGCCGCAGGGCCTCCCCGCAGCCGCGGAGCGCCACGCCAAACGAGTCAGTGACAAACCAGAGACGAGTGCTTGTGCTGATCTCCGATCTCATGGACCGACGTCCGCAGCCGGGGCAGCGCCGGAGCAGGTGCTTGAACCCAGGACGAACTTACGTGTGCGGCGTGCAAGGCGCGTGGGAACGCGTTCGAAACTCCTTCCCGCCACGCGCCGCCACGGGGCACAGTCGCTAGACGCTGGAGCAGAGGGCGCCGCCTGGATGCCGTTTCGAGCGCAGTCCGAGCGGGGCCGGGGTGCAGTCCCCTCGGCCCTCGGCTGCCTGGTGGTGGACTAAGTTACCCCTCGAGGTTTGTGGTGTGCGCTGTGTCTCCGTCGTGACTGTGGTTACCAAAGCAGTATGGGATACGCTAGGGTCCTATATAGGCTCTAGGATACGCCAACTATCAAAGCGGTGTGTATACCAGGGGGAGAAGGAAATTGAAACTGTAGAGAAGAAACTATGGAGTGTTATAGGACGGACTTTTCTATTTCACATTTGACGTGAAGCAGAACAAATTTGAATCACGGACGCTCGCTACATCTAAATTACATGCTGATCTTTACTTTTTTTATTTTATTTTAAAGTTCAATTCAGTTTGCACTTAAAAGATATGGCAGTGAAGTATGGATGCTGCTTAGGAAATCAAAAGACCTAAAAACAAATGCTTTCTTTCCCTTTCCTCGATTAGAAAGTTGAAAGCTTCCAACCAACAACAAAAAGGACTTAAAAGTATACAAAAAACTGAAATAAGTTAGTAGATACAGTCCTAAACACATTTCTTCCTTGTTTGTCAAATTTTAAAAGAAAACATCACATTTGGTTAATGCAGCTTCGTAAGTTAACTCCTACACATTAGTGACACTTGTTAGGCTGAATTGAATATCTTGAATACAAATGGGAAACTGCTGCCACAAAAAGTTGCTGAACCAAGGCGTTTGTGTAGGGAATGCAAATTTGCTTTAAGGAGTGAAATTTGTAAGTGGTTCTTGCTAGATGCGCGCTCTCTTCTCCTCTCTCCCGACATTTGATTAAAACTGAGTGAGACCACATAGAATTTTGTTATAAGGTTCTTTGCTCTGATTAATGTATTTTATTAGTACTGGCTCCTTCAAGCATAACGCAAGATTTGAATTACAAATATGAAATGTTTTGAGCAGTGTTTATGAAACTTTTCCTCATCCCCCATTTACATTTTACCACCATGAAATATTTGATTAGACCTTAACTTGGCAAAATCTTATTACAGTATAATTTGTGTATGACAGTCCACACACATCATGTATTTACTGTATTCACTGTATTCACAACCCAATAATGTGACCAGGATCACATTTTACTTTTACAGGATCACAGATTTCATTGCTAGCCTATATGCCTATTTACATCACATCATATTTTGATAAACTTGAAACACATAAAGCAGATATATACTGTTTGTGATACACTAACAGCATTTACAAATATCAAAATAGATTTTTAAATCATCCAGAGACTTGCCAGAAGTCACATTAAGAACAATTATTGTTACTTTCATGATTCCCTTGAAATCACAGCCACTGTCATAGATACAATAGAAAAGTATTTAAAAACAAAACTGGACCCACAATTTTTGTACTGGTACTAAACGTAGACCCTGCTTGTGGGTAAAAGTTTGCAACAAGAAGTGCAATTGATTACTGACATTTCTAGCTTCATTAAAATATACTAACTAAAAAAAAAATACAATAAAAACAACACATGAGCCAAGTGGAATCACAACAAAATAAAATCTTCAGACTCAAATATCTGGATGACATACAAAAGTTATATTGCATGGATTCAGTTTGACTGAGGAACTTGGTCAGTTGAGTGACAGAACTCTTTGAAGTCTTTTTGCAGGCTGTCCAAGGGGTCGTCAACCATTGACTTTTGAAGCCATGATGATATTGAGGGACCTGGTTGGAGCTGTAAACAACAACAAACCAATACCAATTCTGTATGATGTGGGCAAAATTTTAACTCAAAATTATCAAAATTGAATTATTACTTGTGGTGATGTTTCATCAGAGGGGCCTGATACACCATCAGTGAATGATGATGAAGAATCAGCTTCAGTTGAATCATCCGCTTTGATTCGGCCCTCCTTGGTCCAAACTGGCATCAAGTCAATTTCTTGTGTTTGGCTAGAATATAAAAAATGTTGAATATAAAAGAGAGAAAAAACAAAACGAAATTGTTTATGTTTCAAATAATTACCTTGTAAATGTCCAGCATTTTGACTCCTCTGAGCTGACAGAAGAGACACTTCCGGCAACATTTCTTGCACTTTCCGTACCCGCTAAAGAAAGCACAGAGCTACCAAGACTGCAGTCAGCAACCACAAGATTACTGTTACACAACTCACTATCACCATGGTTTCTTTCTAATTCCAAGGCCAACAGGACAGAAGCTCGGGAACCCGGCTTTGCAGGCAAAGCTTTGTAGGGAGTGCCTCCCTTCTCTAAATGTCCACAGACAAAGTTGTCCATGAAAGTAAGAGTAAAGTCTGGATGTTCTGATAAGTTGCTAGATTTTAAGTTGATTTCAGATAATTCTGGACAGGCTGATAAAATACCAAGTAACTCATTGCATGCACATCGAAGAGTTGCGTCACTAAATACTCGCGTCAACGTAGCTGAGACAATGGTCTTTAAAAAGAGAACAAGTTGCGGACATGGTTCAAAATTGTTCAAAACAACAACTCTTGCAGCATCCACTATTTCATACATCAATTTACGAATTCTTGGAGGAACAGTTTCCAGACTTCCTTGAATTTGATTTTGAAATACTTTCTGTCCAAGGGACACAATTTTTTCTAGTGCCAATACGTGTGTCTTGTGTTCTGCACGGTCATCAGCTTCCTTAGCAAGTAATCTATGGAAATTACTCAACATCCAAACATACAGTTCTAGAATTGAAGTAGGAGCAACTTTACTTTCTGAATGTTTAGTTAAGTAGCCAAGTACTTTATGATGAGCGGAATTTGGAGTGGAGGCATCATCTTCTGTTTCTGAAACTAACAGAAAATAGAGTTGTACTCATAAATAAAACATTGTGCAAGTTTCAAAAGAAACATCAAACATATGGTTCTGCATTATGAAAGTCTCACCTGCAAGAAGAGCAAATTTCAGCTGTGCTTGAATTGACGCAGATTGTTCTTTGGCAATGGGAAGTAACCTTAGAAGAGCTGCAAGATGCCAGTGGTTGGTGTTGCTGGCGTACTTTTCAGAAAGTGACATTCCTAAGGAAACCAATTGCTCTTGAAGATGAGTATTAGAGCAGTGATTTTTAAGGAAGTCTATGATCTGAAATCAATGATGCAATACAGTATTATTGATTATCATACAAATGTGTTCAGATGGAGAACTACATGACCTTTGATTTTACCTGATCACATATACTCTCTGCACTACTACTGTCAGCAATTTTACATAAAAGATGCAAGCTTTTCACTTTAATGGCATTGTCTGGGTGTTGTAAACAGCGCAGCACAACAGCTTGTTGGTCTCTGGTCAGATTTACTTGAAGGTGAGATATTAAAGTCTCAAGTAGGTTCAGTCCTTCATACCTGGGGAATAAAAAACAAGAAAATTAACTCAAATGCAATATGGTAAACCTTTGAAAGAAAAGGAAACAAAAAAAGGTTCTGTACCTGAAATTTATATTATGACTTATAAGTAGATGCCCAATGTTCGACATTGTTAATGATGTAAATTTGCTGGATGCAACACCTAACTCTAGCATTGTCACCAAACATTCTATTGCAATAGCTGCCGATAAATTAGGACTAGAACTAATATTGCCATCACCTAGCGCTGCCTTGAATGTATCTTGAAGAACTTTTTGTACATCTAAGATAGGTGGTTGGAGTTGTCTTATTAGCCTGCAACGTCATACACAGTTATTAAATAAGAGCCAATGTGACTAAATAGGAACATGTAAAAGCAAACTCAGGATACAAAAATCTCTGAGGTGCTATACTGACAAAACTTACTTAAGAATAGTAAGTTGGGTCCATGGAGCTGATACACCATGATGTAAATAATCTTTGGGTAGTTTCCCATGGAGAATTTGATCTTGAATAGAGACTATAGATGAACAAAGATCTTTTGTCAATTCCTCGTGATCCTGTTCCTGTGTTCAAAATAATTATTGAATTTTAGAACAAGAACAATGTAGATAGACTTTAAAATGACAAGATTTTCTCCCCCCTGTTTACTAACCAGCTTTAAGTCAAGCAGGTATTGAAGAATCAAAGCAACTACTCCTGGATCACTGTCTCCCAGTAATGCTCGGACTCTATGAACGTAATGCATAGCTTGGTTCGGACAAATGCGCAAAAAGTGGTGAAGGACAATCACAGCTTTCCCACGAATGTACTCCTGAAAAAGTGGTATAATGATATTATTGAAAACTTTTCACAGGACATCTCTTAGAATGTGAAGCATTTTATGTACTGACATTGGAATGGCTAAGTTTGTCAGCCACCATGGGAAGCACAGCAGATGCTTGGTCTGGTGGTATAAGATGACAAGTTGCTGCTAAGGCCATAGATATTGTCACCATGTTACGGCTGGCCAAGTCTCGAATAATAGTATTGACAAGAAGCATTGATAGTTGATGACAGTCTTTCAAAAGTTGCACACACACCATGTATCCTGAAAGTTAAGAAGTTGGGGTACAACACTGAATTAAATCATCTGCTCTCTATCCTATCCAAACCCGCATTTTCAGCTTTTTTTGAATTCTCTCCTTACCCATCTTCTTCTCAGCTAGAGAACCACGCTGGGCAAGTTTGACGGCATGGATGTACGCAAATTCAGCTTTATATCCCATCATCTCAGCAAAAACAACAAATGCCAACATCTTCTTAACAGCTGAGGAACGAACGCCCGGCTCTGACAGGCGTTGCTGAATGGTTTTTAAAGAATCTTGAAAGCTCCACTCTTCTTCCTGCAGGAAATTTAAAGTAAATGTATGTATACATAAAAAGTGACACATCAGTATTTATTGGAAGAATAAAATTGCAATGACAGGCAAGGAGGGAGATTAATTGTGGCAAAAAATCGAATAAAAGTGCAGTACAGAGAGCGCATACTGAAAAACTCACTCGTTTTGTTCTTGCAGACATACATCTTTCAAACAAACTTTTAGTACTTAACCCCACACTTGTGTTTAGTGGAGAGAGCAAAGTGTTAAGGGATTCGATAGTTTTACCTAAAATTCCAGACATGTCTTAATAAGAAAATGCAACATAAAACATAAAGATTAACGGTACGAACTAATCATCATCACATTGTATGATTCAAAATAATGCACAGGCATGTATTTAGTCTGCTAAACGTCCTGCTGTTTCTGTGTTGTGTTGTTGTAGTGCGAATAACTGTTTCACCAACACGCAAAACTCGTGTGAATAGGCAAAGCTAGTAGACAGCAGACGACACACGGGGTAGGGTGGGGTGGGGTGATGACAGCTCACGGGAGAGGGTTATAGTTCTTCATGTCAATGTGTTATATTGTCACCTAAGTCATTGACAGTCAATCTTCATGGTCACCTGTAGAAAAATTTACGGCTTCCGGTGACAGCAGTGTTTTCTCTAACCATGTCTTTTATTCCACATGCTCTGTCACTTATCTTTGTGATGTCTTGGTAAGTGTCTTTTCCATATGTATGGAACAAAGTGTACACCAAATTATAGTCCTCCAGGCCAAATTGGCCTAATTTTCCATTTTCCTTGCATACCTATTTTTATTGTGACTACAGGACATACTCCGTTTGCTGTATATCACTTGGTTGTGGTTTACTGCTGTGCCTGCTATCAAGGGCTCAAGGGCACTTTATGTTAGGCTCCTTTGTATTTTCTTTAGATTTTTTATTGTTACAGAAAATTATCATCTTGATGGCTGACAAATTTTTGAAAAAACTGTCACAATGTCAAGTAACAATGTTGTACTCGGAAGAGGTAGTGGGAGCCGAATTGGACCAGGAGGTACTCCTATTGCACAGAAGCGTCTCAACACCTCAAAAAATGTTCTCCTCAAAGTGGTTATTCTAGGGAATGGAGGAGTGGGCAAGTCCTGTCTCATGAACCGCTTTGTATCTAACCACTTTGATCAACATTCTTTTCACACTATTGGAGTTGAATTCTTAAACAAGGATTTGGAAATTAATGGCGAGACCTACACACTGCAGGTAATTTCAATAAATATTTCTCCTTAGTTCTTTTGAGTGTGTGTGTGTATGTTTGCAGTTGTCTATTATTTTTCTCTTGCTTTAGATTTGGGATACAGCAGGACAAGAGCGTTTCAAGAGTTTGCGGACACCATTTTATAGAGGATCAGATGTCTGTCTATTGACATATGCTGTGAATGACAAAAACAGCTTTAAGGATGTATCCATGTGGTGCAAAGAATTTCTAACATATGCAGATGTGAAGGAAGGAGCTACATTCCCCTTCATCCTTGTTGGAAACAAGGTAAACTCAATAGCTTGCATTGTTTTCCTAAATTAATCAAGTAAATACATTTTGAGTTTTTGTCTTCCAGGCCGATATTGCTGAGGAAGACAGGCAAGTATCAAAAGAAGAAGCTCAGGTTTGGTGCAAGGAAAATGGAAATCCTTCTTTCATCGAGACAAGTGCAAAAGATGCCACCAATGTGGAGTTGGCCTTCCGAATGGCAGTTGAACGGTGGACAAAGTTCGAGGAGAAAATGGATCGGCACTACGAGACCGAAGTTGTTGATCTCCGCTCTGTTAAACCACCTGAAAGAGTATCTTGCTGTTTCAGTGCAAATCCAGCATTAAGTGAGGAATGACACTGCCTTTTGTGTCATGGTTATCAATATTGTTTGTGATCGAAAAGGCACATAGCTCTGTCTGCATTGGGTGCTTTTGAAATGACTTGTGTGTTAAAAGTATTATTGCTATGAAAAAATAACCACATAAAGTAGAATAAGCTTGCATACCTTTTTTTCAGTTGGTATTATTGTTGTCATAATCGAATTTCAGGTGGTTAATTGATCATTCATTACATATTTAATGTAACTGGTGGAGGTTTATATATTGTTGCACTCACTTGCATATCAAGCTCAATACATTCTAATGTATTTGTCTTTCTCCAAAGTTTCATCAGTCTGTGATAATAGTTACCTTGTGCTTTTTGCAAGGCAAAGCATTTCATTAGAATTCATTAGAAGCATTGTACTTGAGGAAAAGTATGCATAACATTTTTATATTCAGATTTTATGTATTTGTTTGTTTTGTTGCACAGTTGATAATGGTTCATACTCTATGCAGTGTTGTGGTGTCAGCCAGTGAATTGGTGAGCCAAGAAACCCATTTACCAGTTTTTTCTTTTCCATGAAACCAAAGAGCACGGCTTCGCCTAGCTTGCCTCAGGCATTGATGCTCTGTTGTTTTCTCGAATATCTTGTCTCCTTCCACAATGAGAGGAGTGCAAAGGATGGTAACAATCTTCATTCAGTATGTTGCTGTTCGGTGTCTTGTTTTTCAAACACTTCCTGTTTTTATTACAGAATTCTTAAAAATTCTCCATTCCTCTCAATTGTGATCATTCATTCATTTGTGTATCTCAAAACCTGTAAAAGTAACTTTTTTGAAATTATTTTTTCTTGTGAGACTGTGTTATTTTATCCATTTGTGGTTGGAAAATTTCAATTTGATATCTAAGGAATACTTCCTCAGAGGATTTTTTAAAACCTTGTGACAGCACTAACACCAATAAACTTCATAATAATTGAAATTTCAAAATAGTATTTTTCTGCTCTTATTTGTTTGGCAGTTTAATATTGTGTCAAATTTTTTTGTGTTTAATAGTGCCTTTTGTTGAGCCACTAGCTTGCTACCTAGGCATATAAATGTGAACTGAATTGGCATTGCACAATTTTTGAACGTTGTATATTTTTTATTTAATTTTTCATATTGCAGTTTTGCAGTGTGCTAAAATGTTTTCAAGTATTCTTTGTTTGCCTATTTTCATATTGGGAGACATATAGTTATAGTTTATTTGATATTCTGGAGTGCTTCAAAGCATGTTGTCCATGGATATCACACTCTTGTCAATTTTACCAGGAGGTGCACTTTCTTGCATTGCTTTATGAATTTTGGCTCAAGTACATATTCCTAAGTGACTTAAATTGCGTTACAACTCACTGTACTGAGTTTTCTGCTTCTCTCTAAGAGAGTAAATTTGGAATGGTTTGCTCAATTTCTTATTGATAGTGCACAGTATGAGCAGTGCTTTGTAATAATTTATGTAAATACCAAAAGAATCATCATCATACTGTGCTTTCCTTAATAGACCAGGTATTGTAGAGCTTAAGAGCAGTTGTGATATTCTGTAAGTGTCTAGTCTTTTGGAGCTTTGCCATTCCCATTCATCCATGGTCTTGAAAGAAAGACTCACTAAAGCACTTTTTTTGTATGTGTTTACTTTACGTGTTTACTATATGCATTCCAAGCTTTGTTTGAAACCACTCTGGTCATTTTCCTCTTCACGCTTTATGATGTAGACGAATATTCGCCAGGTGTCATTTTTGTAAGGAGAAATATTATTGGTTAAATAAAAGACAAGGTCCAAAGAGAATGCCGTCTTTTATTCTGACTCAAAGTTGAAGATCCTTCACGGAGTCCGGGCTCCCCTTCGGCTCCATGGTCCTGCCGTACTGCAGAGGACAGCAGACGTCGGGCATGCTGGATCTACCTTCCCGGCACGACGTAACAATGGCGACAAAAAAAAACGATTCTTCCCGTGACGCTAAAACAGCTCTCGTGCGGCGAACAGGTTGTGCACGATGGGTTGCCTACCTGATTGGCGCACGGCTCAAATCATTCCAGTTTTACGCTATATAAAGACTGTTTAGGGTCGAAGTGGTCCTCGAAATAGCGTCAAGATTCATAAGGGAGTCATGAGGAGCACTACATATGCCAATTTGGGCCATTTTAAATTTTTGGCCCAAAACGTTAAAAACATGGTGTCTGCAAGGGGCAGGAGGGTGATGGAACAGTCCACGTTCCATTCTCGTTCTATATATTTTCTCTTTTTCATCAAGTAGTATAAGTGCTACAGCAGTATATACAATACAAAATCATGAATATCATGGAAGTAGAAATAAAAAGCACTACACAAAAAATCCATACGTTTCACAATCCACATAATCTTAATGGTTGCGCTGTTCCTTTGGTTCAAAAATCGTCAACTATACAATATTATTTTAAAAAGTGGCGACCGCGAGAGTGGTCTCTTACAATTAAACTCAACATAAAAATTAATTACACTTGAGAGATAACGATAGCAATATAATTAAAATAACAATTTAGACCATAAGTTATTTGTTCCATTTTGGTCACCGTCGAATACCAAGAAATACCTATTTGATACAGAATTTCGTTCTAGACACAAGTGCTTGTCCTATCTTTTAGAAGAATAAGAGATGAGAGCCAAGCAGACGCAGATGATGCGACTCTGGTACTTTCTTCGAAGCGCATTAAAGCCCTCTAAGTTACATGGTGGCAAAACCGTGCGACTTGCCGTGTCTCGAACAAAATCGATCAAAATCTAACCACAACCACAATAAGGTGGAGAATTTTTTTAGCAGATGATACCAAAACCATCCAAAGATTTACACTGAGACACTTTGAAGTGTCAAAAGGCCTTAACTCGTTCTAATCCAGAAACACAGCGCGCATCCATTAGCATAAGGGAAAAGGAGTGGCAGAGTACGAATGTCTGGCTGGCAGCGAAGGGAACCGAGTTACTTGCCGCAGAAGAACCAAAATTTTGTGCCGAACGAAATCCTACCTGAGTAAAAAAGTAAAGAAAGTTCGTCCATTTCTGGCGTATTAACGATTTAAATCTTTGGACACAAAAACATGACGACAGAGGTTCGGAGAATCAAAAGTAGAACCTTCGAAATTTTGTATCATCCGCTCTCATTTAAGATTTATCTTAATTTTTTTTGTACATAGGAACCGGTGCACGCAAGCACCGAGACAAAAGACGTAGCCTCAAGCGATGAGGACGTGGGTAATCACAGTTCAAAAGTATGCATAGCGCAAAACTGGCTACGTCTGCGTAAAAAAAAACCTAAAAAAAGAGCTTTATTCGCGACAGTCTCATGCGGGAAAATGCACGGCAGCATCAAAATGATCAAGACAAAGACGTCCCTTTGTCGAACTAGTCAAGTTGGCGCGGGACAAGATAAGACATAAAACAAAAAAAAAAAGGACAATCACGTTTCTTGAGACTTTTGTGTCTGCCGTGCGAACCGCCTCTACAACTTTTCAGATCTCTGCTCGACGCATGGCTCTCAGGCGAGATCGCAGGGAAGTCCCAGGGTGACGCCGAGGAATGCACAGCCGCTGCTGCCCACCTCACCCCCTCTCGGGGAGCGAGGTTCGTTACGGCAGCAGCCGGGGGTTGAACCTGCCCATGTGCAGCAGCACCCCGGTGGGGTTGTGCCTCACGAAGAACAGGAAGGGCCGGTCGAAGCGCAGCCGGGCCGCCTCCGGGATGCGGGCCTGCCGCGGCCGCAGCGCCAGCGGCACCTTCATCAGGTCGGGGTCCTCGAAGTCCGCGATGCGCTGGAACGTCCTCGACTCCCTGCTGGCCGAGCTGCTGGCCGAGGTCGCCGACGACGAGCCGTCCTCGGACGCGGAGACCTCCTCGGACGACGTGAGGCCCGTCGAGCCGCGCGCCTCCGCCGCCTCCAGCGCGTCGCCCAGCCGCGCGTAGTAGGAGTCCCTGCAGTGATGCGGAGTCCGTCAGTCACTCTCCATTTTAAGTTTCCTTAGGCGGCGTGGAAACATCACGTCTCCTGTTTTAGGCTCCTTCCCACTCGGGTGACGACGTGCTATTTGCACACCACCTACTCAGCACACCCTAGACGACCGCTTTAACAAAATATTGACTTTCGATGAATTTCAGTCGAAATTTGATGAATTTTAATGAATTTCAGTAAATTGAACAAGTTTGATGAATTTCGGTGTACAAATTTGGCTCAAACCGCGTCAAAAGTTTAGGTCTTCTGGCCCACTGTGTGGCGCTGACCCACCTGTCCTTGCCGACGTTGTCCGGGTGCAGCTCGATGCTGGGGTCGTCGCTCTCGGACACTCGGGGCCGCAGCCGGCGTCCGCGGGCCGCGCGCCGCCCCGGCGACGCCAACGGGGACGTGGGGAAGAACTCGACGTGGTGCCGCGAGTCCACCGCCCGCTCGCCGCACGTGCTGAACGTGTTGAGCTGCAACAGTCCACGCACACCTTCATTCTGCGCAGTGGCGGGGCCACAGGGAGCCTTTGAGGACGGGTGGCGGGGAGGTCCACTTTTTGCCTACTTAAGGGAAATGTATGGTGTTTTGATTCTGAGCGCGGATTTTAGGTGAGGGGTAATGGTGGTGATTATCACCCCTTTTCCCATTTTAGGCACTACACAGGCCGCCTGGAAGGTAGGTAACCAGCACGGTTCCCCGTAAGTAAGGTCAGTTGGGGTAATTATAGGACACGGGGTAAAAATGGGACCGCTGATTCTTAGTCAAGATTTGACATTTTTGAACGCATGACATACCAAATGTGATGTTTTCATTGAAAAAATAACGTTTGCTACTTATAAGTAGCAAATTACTTGCTACTTAATTACTCCAACTGACCGTAGGTGGAAAGCTTTGCTTAACTGCCTCCTTAGGAAAATCCAGGACCCGCGCCTGATGGTTTCGTTTGTTGCTCGTCCGTCCGTCCGTTAGTTCATCCATTCGACCACTCGCACAAAGTGTCGCTGGGCCGAAAATTGTCCCTCGGATCGGGGTCGCCGTCAGTGCTTTGTCTCGCTGCTGTCTCGCTCGCACTCAACGGGACTCCCCGTAGGTGTGAGAGAGACAGAGCGACCAAAGCCCTGTTCGGATTCACTGAGCGAGCGCGGTCTGCCGGCCGCGGCTCGGCTAGGCTCGGCGAGGGAGGGACAATGCGAGTGCCGTCTGCCGGTGTGCCTCCACTCGCCTCGCCAACCAAGGCGTCATCCTTGTGGCGGCCCTGCAGACTGACAGTCTCGCTCCGTCTCTCTCGCACCAGCACGGGAGGCCCCGCGAGTGCGAGAGAGACGAAAAAGACTCTCCGCGCTGCGCACTGCGGCCGTGGCCGCCAGTCTGTGGGTCACTGGAGCAGCCCGGGGCGCGGTGGCGCTGGTCCCCTTTTCCATAGTGGCTGTCGCGAGGCGCAGCCCGGGCGCGGCACAGCGCGGCACCCAAAACGGCGGTCGCCTCGAAAGCGGCCGCCAGGCCGCCGGTGCTGACTGCAGACTGAGAGTCGTTTCCCGTCGTTCTCTCTCACACTCGCGGGGCGTACCGTAGAGGTGCGAGAGAGACGGAGCGAGACTAGGGTGGTCCAAAAAAAATGAAGTTGCTCGGATCGTCCAACGCCGCCCGGATTTGGATTCTACATCGAAAAAAATGAAATACGTGTTTTTTCCTTTTTCGATAAAATGATTTTCAGGACCTCCTCAAAGCCCTCAAAATTTGTAACAGTGCTATTAATAGGAAAAAATCGTAACTTGGTCATTTTTTGACCGATTTTAAAAAACGAAACGGGGATTTGTTCGTTTTTGAATGCCCATTACGAAAAAAATATGCCTAACCCTCTTTTTGGTTTGCCTAACTTTCAGGGGGTAAAAAATGACAAAATTTCAGCCCAAATTGGCAAGAGTTTCAGTTTGTAGGCCGCTACAGCCACTCCAAGTCCTTCCTGTCAGCATGGGGGGGTGCCCCCACCACTAGGCAAGCCCCATGAACAGAAATGAGATGCCGAGTGCAATTTGCCTACCACACAGGGGCATCAAATTGTGGATTTTTTCGAAAATCTATCCATAGTGGTGTCTCTTGGGGCCTCTGGGCACTCAGATGGGCACCCTTTCACCCGGTTCGGTACCCGCACTACGTGACAAGAACAAACAATAGGAATGGACGTTGTTGACGTGAGGAACCGCAACCACGCAAGGCCACAAAAAAAGCCATCAAAATGAAGGAATTTTCTAAATTTTCACGTTTTTCTGGTCCTGAGAGGTAGGCATGAGGTGCTCAACAGTCAATTCCAATTGTTTGTTCTTATCACGTAGTGCGGGTACCGAACCGGGTGAAAGGGTGCCCATCTGAGTGCCCAGAGGCCCCAAGAGACACCACTATGGATAGATTTTCGAAAAAATCCACAATTTGATGCCCCTTTGAGGTTAGGCAAATTGCACTCGGCATCTCATTTCTGCTCATGGGGCTTGCCTAGTGGTGGGGGCACCCCACCATGCTGACAGGAAGGACTTTCAGTGGCTGTAGCGGCCTACAAACTGAAACTCTTGCCAATTTGGGCCGAAATTTAGTCATTTTTTACCCCTGAAAGTTAAGCAAACCAAAAAGAGGGTTGGGCATATTTTTTTTCGTAATAAGCACTCAAAATTGAACAAATCCCCGTTTCGTTTTTGAAAATCGGTCCAAAAATGACCAAGTTACGTTTTTTTCCTATTAATAGCACTGTTACAAACTTTGAGGGCTTTGAGGAGGTCCTAAAAATCATTTTTTCGAAAAAGGAAAAAACACGTATTTCATTTTTTTCGATGTAGAATCCAAATCCGGGCGGCGTTGGACGATCCGAGCAACTTCATTTTTTTTTGGACCACCCTAAGCGAGACTCTCGGAATCAGTCTACTGGTGGCCCAGCTGACGGCCTTGTTGGCGCGGCGCGTGAGGCGGACGCACCGCCACGCCACTGTCATTGCCAGCACGACGCGGGCTGCAATGAGGCGCGGCCAAAGGCACGCCGCACGCCACGCCACGCCACGGCGTGCCAGAGGCAGACTTAGAGGGACGAGCCAAATAGCACATTTTGGCTACTTACAGGGGCGAAGTATGGCCTTTCGCCTACCTTTCAGACGGCTATTTAGGGCTAGATGTCGTGGGGGAGAAGGGCGGAGGTTCTTCTGCCTGCAACCACGCCTGCACCGTCACCGTGCCACGCCGCGCCACGCCCCGCCACACCCCGCCAGGCCGTGGCTAATGCCGCAGAAGACCAGGCGCCGACGTGACTCACCTGGACCACGTCGGACAGGTGCAAGTCGTTGGCCACCCCGTTGAGTCCGCGCAGGTCGGCGTGCTCCGAGGAGAACAGCTCGTCCAAGCCCATGCGCTGCAGGGCCTCGCTCATGTTGAGCACGGAGCGGTGGCTGAAGCGGGGAATCTGGAACGAGCGGCAAAGTCAAAGTTTGCAGGAGATTCAATGAACGCCATGACGCAGTCTCCAAGACGAAAACCACTGAGCTCCTGAACCTCAGGCATCCTGACCGAAATTCGGCACCGCTTAGTTAGCGCCTGTGAGGTAGGCCAGCCTTCCGTCCCGCAACACACCGATGTGGAGACGGTGGCCTACCTTGCCCCTGTGAAGATGACAGGGGGAAGGTAGGCCAACGTCTCCACACCGGTGTGTCGCGGGACGGAAGGCTGGCCTACCTCACAGGCGCGAAGCGGTTCATAACATAAGACGCCCAAAAGTAATTAGGGGTCAAGGGAGGGGCAATTATCCTTGCACTGCGATGCACCGCGATGCACTTGCCTGCAGTTCGAGGCCCGGCCTGGGCAGCAGCGTGCGCAGCAGCCGCGCCCACCGCGCGCCGGGCCCCCTGGACTCCAGCAGGCGCTGCTCCAGGCGCGACAGGCCGTCCCCGGGGGCGACGTGGCCCTGCTGGCCGGGCAGCACCAGCACCGTGCTGAACGGGGCTGCAACAGAAGGGAAGCGTCAGCACACAGAGCGCCCGCGCTGTTAAAGTAAAAAGATTCACCGGACTCACAACTAAACCTCTACCCGTCGTGCCTTACCTTCGGCGGCGCCCAGGGCCACGGCGGTGGCGTCCAGGGCGGGGTCGTAGCCCGCCAGGAAGCCGGAGCGCCACACGACGGCGGGGACGGGGACCAGGCGGCGCTGCCGGCTCGACGGCACCACCACGAAGTGCATCTCGCCGTCGCGGCCCTCCGTGGACGCGCCGGTGCAGTCCGTCTGTAAGTAAGCAGGGCGTCCGTCATTGCTGTGTCCCTGTCGCACTCATGGGGCGTACGGTGCAGCTGTATTATTATAGCGCGACTATTTTTAGCGCGGGAAAGAAACTTATTTGTCAGCATTAACATTAACATTAAGAAGCCATTCCAAATTTCGCAAAAGTCATCCCTGCACGGCCAGTGCCCTCCCCCACGTGCGTGCTCGCCGGCGCGTCTCCCTCTTCTTCGCTCCGGTTAACCTCTTCCTGCCACCACACCGTGTCCACGCGGCAATTAACCTTTCGGCGGGTCGCGGCGTTAAGTAACTCAATCTGCCGCGCCTTGCGGGCCTTGCACAGCGCATCACGTCACATAACCTCTTCGCGGCGGTCTTAGTCCTGCCCTGCACCGCCCTGCCCCACCTTAGCCGCCCTGCCTCACCAGCCCCCCCCCTCCTCGCCCCGCCCCGTCCCGCCGCCACATCGATGATAATCGTGCCTTTGACGACGGGGCGCCGCGCTCCGTGGCGTCGGCGTGGTCGGCGTCACGCGCCGCCGGAGTCGTACTCCGAAATGGCGCGCAGTTGAACACCGCCGGGCGGGAGCCGCGTCCGAAAGCTTGCCGCGGGCATCTTTCCTCCTGGACCCTGCACGACACAGCGCTCCCGGGAGCGGCGCGTGGCTTTCGGACGCAGCCGAAATCAGCGGCGGGATTCACCGGGACGGCTGTCCAGCCGCACCATGGCCCAGCGGGGCCAGCTTCAGGGCGCGCGGACTGGCAGAGACGACATTGGCCCTGAAGACGGCCGGCGGCGGCAAGGGAGAGGCTACACTGGGAATCCGGGAATGTGACGTCACGGTGGTTAGGGCGTGAATCGTGTCACGTTCATTTGCACACTTTGTCATTTTCGTTAGTACGTGAATCCGGCCTTGTCCAAGCTCGGAAACAGCCGATTCTCATCGAACGAATGGGATGCAGTATTCAAAAGAACGTGGACGCGATACGTTTTAACGAACGTGACGTCACATTCCCGGATTCCCGCTGTAGGTTGGGTTTGTACTCACCTCGAAGATGTTGGCCCCGAAGGCGGCCAGTGGCGGCCGCAGGGAGAGGCTGGCGCCGCGCATGTACTCCTGCACGCGGCCGCGCGTCTGCCGCTTCACGAGGAGGTTGGTCTTGCGCCGCACCAGGTCGCCGCTGTTGCGGAAGGTGATCTCCTCGACGTGGCCGTCGTAGAACTGCGTGGCGCGCTCCTTGTAGAACTCCAGGAGCTTGCCTTTATTCTGCACACACAAACAGTTGTCGTCATTGCACAGAAGAAGAACTTGAACCATGCTTGAACCCGACAAAGTCACAAGACTCACCGCGATCGCTCTGACTTTAAACGAATGCAGAAACCGAGACATCCGATTAAGACTCACCTTGTCGCTGTACAGCTCGCGGACCAGGGCCGCCGTGGCGACGCCGGCGTTCTTGGCGTGGACGAGGGACTCGGTGACGTTCCACAGCACCTGGTGGGGGTTGAAGGACACCATGTCGTCCAGGCGCAGCACGTCGTTCATCTGGCCGGACGTGGGGCCGCGCGCGCCCAGGAACACCATGGCGAGCGTGGACGTGGCGGCGAACGGGGACATGACCAGGCTGCGCGTCGTGGTGCTGGAGGGAAGCAAGGCCAGGTCAATGCCCACTCCGGCGATCTACCCGTCCACCCTCGCGAAGCGAATCCCTTACCTGGCGGATTTCTCCTTCACCGCCATCCACATCTGGAAGGCCAGGTCGTTGCAGAGGCTGACGAAGCTCTTGACGTCCGGGTCCAGGTTGGCGGTGGCGGCCTCCAGGCCCAAGTGCTCGTGCGGCGCGGCGTGCAGCTCGACGGCGGACGGCGAGTGGTACACGCCGACGTGCTTCACGGCCTCGTCGGCCACCTCGGGGGCGGCGGGCGCCGCGGCTGGGGGTGCGTGCGGGCCTCCAGCCTTGAGGGACTCCGGCGCGGCCGAGGCCGAGGCCTCCTCCGCCGAGCTGACCACGGGCACGCGCGTCCACAAGGGCTGCGACAGCGGCGCCGAGCTGCTGGCTGTCTCCACGTCCACCTTGTTGGCGTCCACGTCGACGGGGGCCGAGGTCGTGGTGGAGGCCAGCCTGAGGCTGGACAGGCTGGACGCAGGCGCGTTCACTTTGCTGGTCTGGATGTTGCTGCTCTCCAGGCTGAGCTCGGCGGTGGGTGATTCGGGCGAAGAGGCAGTGGACGTGGGTCTGGTCTGACTCGTGGTGGTCGAGGCCGTCTCCGTGGAGGTTGGTGTCACCGTGGGAGCTGCCGAGGACGGCGTCGTGCTCAGCGAGTCTGCCGAGGTTGTGTCCAGCTCCGCGGACTCTGTCCTCGACTCCGGCTCCTCGCTGGAGGCCGAGGCCGTGACGGCGTCGCGGACGGACACCGTCGTGGCTCGCTGTTCGGTGCTGGCAGCCGACTGGTCCGTCACCGTCTCCCACGAGGTGGCCGACGGCCGGGTCTCAGCCTCCGTCGTCGAGGTCACGGCCTCTGCCTCGGCGGCCTCCGTCGTGCTGGCCGTCGAGTACAGCATGCCCGTCTCCGAGCTCGAGATCTTGAGGTACAGCTTGGTGGTGGCCTCGGCCCCTTCGGCCTCGGCACTTTCGCTGGACACTTGTTCCGTGCTGCTGCTCTCCTCGGAGGCCTCGTTCGCCTCGTCCGAGGCCGTCACGGCCTCCACCGGCCTGCTGGACGTCGTCGTCAAGGTTTCCGCCTCTTCCACCGCGTCCGTGGCGCGCTCCGTCGTCGGGAAGGTGCTGGCCGCGGTGGAGGCCTGCTCTTCGTCCTCCGGGACGCGTTTCGTCACCAGGGCCGAGGCCGGGACGCGGGTCAGCATCTCGGTGTACCTTACTGGCGCCGACACTGCTTGCGGCGCTGGCGCCGGGGCCGGTGCTGGCGCTGGGGGTGGCGCCGGGGCTGCGTCCGTTGTGCTCAAGTCCGCCGACGTTGCGGACGTGTCCTCGTCGTCCATGGTGGTCAACATGGTTGTGATTTTCGTTGGAGGCTGCCCAGTTGTAGTCCTTGCGGGTGAAGTGGTCCAAACCGTGGGCAAAGCCGTGGGCAAGGCCGGATGCAAAGACGTGGGCAAGGCCGTAGGCAAAGAGGTAGGCAAAGACGTAGGCAATGCCGTAGGTAATGCCGTAGGCAATGCCGTAGGCAAGGACGTAGGCAAGGACGTGGGCAAGGACGTGGGCAAGGCTGTAGGCAAGGACGTGGGCAAGGCAGTGGGCAAGGTCGTCGGCACTGCGGTTGACACCGTCACTGGCAGCGCCGTAGACACGGACGTCAGGGCCGATGTCCCGAAGGTGGCTGTGGTGGAGGCCGCGCTGGAAGCCGAGGTCCCGGAGGAGGTCGTCGAGCCCCACCTGGAGGCCGACGTCCCGGACGACGCCACCGTGCTGCTGGGCGAGCTCGTGGCCGAGGCCGTAGTGGTTGACGCGTCCTCCTCGTCGTCCGTCGTCCTGCTGTCCATGTCCAAGTCCGCCGAAGAGACGGTCTCGGTGGGCGCGGGGGTTTCCGTCGAGGTCACCCTGTACGTGTAGCTGATGGCGGGCGGGCGGCGGGACGGTGGTGGCGGCGTGGGTGATGGCGTGGTGGCCGGCACCTCCGTGGGGATGAAGGTGACGAAGGGCGCCATGGTGGTGGTGGTGGTGGCGGGCCGCTGGATCGTCACGATCTGTACCATGGACTCCGCCTGCTGCTGCGTGACTGCCGGGTGCCGCTGCTGCACGGCCTCTTGCAGGGCCGGCTTGAAGGGCCTGGCGGTGGTCTTCGTGAAGGCCGAGGGCTTGGGGGGCCGGGTGCCGGCCTTGGTCGGGACAGGCTTGGAGGCGGTGGGCTTGGCGGCCGTCTTGTTGGGGTTCTTGGTGGGCTTGGCGCGGTTGGGCGTGGTGGGGCGCGTGGGGCGCGTCGGCCGCTGGGACGCTGGAGGCCGTGACGGCCGTACGCTGGCCGTTCGCAGCGGGGGTGGCGTGGCGAGGGGGGCTTTGAGCGGGGCGGGGGCTGCTGGGGCGGGCACCGGCCGGCTCGCGTTGTTGGACGCGGTGTGCTTGAGCCCGCCGGTGGGTGACGAGCTGACCAGGGTGTACAATGTGTCCACGACGTCCTGCTCCGTGGTGGTGGGCCCGTTCGGCGGCGGAGTGAACCTCACCGGCTCCTCCTTGGAGGCCGCTGGAGCCGCCGTGGTGGCAGGCTTCTTGGCGGGCTTCTTGGCCAGGGTGGTGTGGATGGACGGCTTGCTGGTGGGTCCCTTGGTGGCGGTCTGCGCCGCCGGCCTAATGGTGGGGGACGTGGTGGGCGGCGTGGTGGGCGCTGGGGTCGACGTTGTGGCGGTGGGCCTGCTTGACGGCCTGCTGGCGGGCCTGGGCGGCAGCCCGCCGTCCATGATGCCGGGCAGGATCATGCCCCACGTGGCGGCGGCCTCGCTCGGGGACGGCGCGCCGGAGCCGGGCGGCGGCCGGATGTACGCGGGCAGCTTGTTCTTGCTGGCCGCCAGCTGGCTCTTGAGCACGTTCTGCACGTTGTTGACCACGTCCTGCACGCCCTTGACGGCGTCCTCCAGCGCGTCCTCCGGGTCCTCCAGGCCGGCCATGACGCCGTGGTGGTTGGGCTGCACCGGCGCGTGCATGGTGGCGGGGGCGGGCACGGGGCCGTGGTAGAACGTGGCGATGGGCGTGTCGCCCAGGTCGCCGTCGCCGCCCGCCAGCAGGCTCTTGATCTCGTCGAGCGTCATGTGGCGACGCACCAGGTCGCCTGTCTCGTCGAACGTGTAGAACTCGTACCTGGCCGAGGCAGCACCCAAGCAGACGGAATCAAGCGATGTTAGAGATCACACCGCTGTGAAACACTGGTACAACAAAGGTGCCCTGTGGAAACTCTGGAGTTCGAAACGCGTCAAGAGTTATGGGAGCCGGCGCCCGTCTTCTGACCCACTGTGCGTGACGTCACGGAGCGCAAACCAGTGCAAGATGACTCACCTGTCGGGCGACATGAGTCCGGCGGGGCTGCCCACGGTGGCTGCCTGGGCCGCCTGCGGGGACTGCGGCTTCTGCGGCCGCTTCTTGACGCCCTGCTGCGCCCTGGCCGGCGCCTCGGCGGCGTACGTCCTGGTGGCGGTGGTGGCCATGCTGGCCGTGCTGGACGTGCTGACCGTGCTGGCGTTGCTGGCCGTGCTGGCTGGGTCGGCGAGGACGGACACGGACGTGACCACGCTACAGCACGAAGAGTGGGTTAGGAGGATGCATTATGGTCCTGGCCGTGTTAGAGAAACGCGGGCTTGCCCCAAAGCCGCATACTATAACGTTTATCTACTTTTATTGTCCATAACTATTGCCATATTGGTGCATACGGAAGCTATGTACAAATTCACGGGGGAATATTTTCATATTGGGCTTAAGTATAGATTGAACCAAATTTGTGTACAAATGGAGGACACACGTCCCGCGTTTCTCTAACAGATCTAGGGCTGTGGGATGCATGTGGGGCCAGACCGAGCCAGGCCCAACATGGCGTGGCCTGACCCCGCCACTGTAAGGCAGCCCAGGCACGCCGCGCGGCAAGGCGCGGTGCCCGCGGTGCACTTGCAGTGCTCTGCGCTCTATTCTAATTTTACGTGCGCTCCACTCCGACCCACTACTCTTCCGCGTCTCCCTCGCGTCTCCGCGGAAGCAAGCTGCAAGCAACCCCGGACGGATCGGTCCCCTGCACTTCCCGAGGGCACTCGACCCGCTGACCCAGTCTCGAATGCAAAAGCTCGGCGCAGATGGCATGCATGCAGGTGGCGTGCAGGCGGGCCGGCGGTTGCACACTGAGAGTCGACGTCGTCTCTCTGCCTCTCTCGCACCTGCAGGGGGCGGCCTCGAGTGCGAGAGAGACAGAGCGACGAAAACGACTCTCAGTCCGCACTGCCCCTGCGAGCGCCAGCTGCCGGCGCGCATCTGGCAGACCTCCCGAATGCCCGCGTAGTGCTCTGCACTGTGAGAGCAACCCCTCACCGCTAATGTAGCGACACGCTTCCAGCGGCGGCGTCCCGCCGACTGTCTCAGAGCGACCACGAGGCACACTCTTGATTTCACTGAGAATGAAAGAGTCATGACCATGACTAAAATTTTGGGCGAGGAATTCTTTATTACCCAAATTTGGATAAGGAAGGTTTCCTCGACCAAACTTGGGTGAGGAATGTTTCCTCACCCAAATCTGGGTCATAGGAGCCATGCAGGTAGCTAATACACCGCCTTCCTCGCCCAAATTTGGGTAATAAGGAATTCTTCGCCCAAATTTGGGTGATAAAAGTATACCTCGTCCAAAATTGGGTATTGACCATGACTTTTTCATTCTCAGTGAATCCAGAGTACTCTTGGGTCATCCCCCGTACCGGTGCGCGAGAGACAGTGGCGTGTTCGGAAGCAGCCCACCAGAATCCCGTCGCCCGAAGGGCATTCCCTGGCACGGAGCAGCTTCGGCACGCACGGACCTGGAGCCGAGGATTCTCCTGGGTTCTTCCGCTGCAGTGCTCGTGGTGGTCGCAGCGCCCGGGGACGTCTCAGCGGCGGTCGTCGCACGCAGCTCCTGGGGGCGGGGCTGGGGGTGGGGCTGGGGGTGGGGCTGGGGGTGGGCAGCGGCCAGGAGCCCGTGAGCCGCCAGGGCAGCCAGCGCCACCAGAAGAGGCGGGTAGTTTCTACGCCCCCCTCCTGAAAAGAAAACATCGACGATTAGTGGATTCTCGGTGAGCAGCAGTTATTCGGCGTCGACGCACGTGCACTGAGAAAAAAAATTAGTCGCCAGAACTAAAACTTTGGTCCACAGACCTAAAGTCATAGGGGAAACCAAGCACCTTGTCTCCTGAAGCAGAAGTCGTTTGGTGTGCCACTTTTGTCCCTGGCCCTAAAGTTGTTTGGACGCAGAGCATAAAGTCACTTTCTTGTCAAGAACTAAATCTGCTAACACGTCATAGTTACCAGCGCGCAAAAAAAAATTCGCGCGGGGATCGAACCGCCGAAAGTAGACTTCGCAAGCCGTCACGCAACCCATTCAGCCAACTCGCCACAAAAGAGAAGGCCGCATTGGGGATCATCTTAACAAGCGGCACCACTGCGAACGCGAGGAAAAATGGTAACTCAGCTCGCTCCCTTTCCCGAGAGTCTTTATATCCCTCAGTCCATCTCCTAGCTTCACTCAAAACTCATACAGTAAGCAGCGCCACTGTGCCAGGAGAAACTGGTTGCGCACCGGCGGGAGTTGAACTCACGCCGGAATCCGACTTACTATCCAGCCGCCAGGTACGGAGACCACTGAGCCACCAAGCCACATGCAGTGAGGGGAATATCGGGATGCCTAAGAAGGTAGATCTGCGGTGTGGTGAAACGTCATCATCCAACATAAACGAAGAATTCAGACACGAAGACGAGAAATCTTTGGTCGCGGGGACAAAACTCGGTGACCACTTGAGCTTTCTATACGCGCACTACCGCGATTTTGCTCCTGGCACGAAAGCTGTGTCGAGTTCAAACCCAATCGACTTTGGTGCTAGGATCAAAAGTGCTCTGACGCCGGGCAATGTAACATTTGGCCCGTGCAACCACAATTCTAGGTACTGGGACCGAACGGGGGAGACCATACGGTCAGCTTGGTCCAATAGGAGCCGAACATTTTTCTCAGTGTGCCGCGTGATGCACTCTGAATGTCTGGCACTGAAATGTGAGCTGTGTTACAGTGAATTTGAACAATACGAAGGAATATTTCTTTGCAATACGAATCTTTCTAGCATTTTCATTGTAAGATACCAAGAAAAACCCCCATAATACGAAGAAAAGTCACCCTCGTATTATGCTTGCGCCATTTCCTTCGTGTTATGAGAAATTTCTTCGTATGACATTTAGAGTGTGTTACGCTACGCCATACGATTGCATTTCCAGGCCTGACTGTACCACGCACGGCGCTGCCAGACCTGACTGTACCACGTGGACGCGCGTGGTAATGAACTCCAGCGGTCGGAGTGGCACGGCGCGGCGCCGGCGTACGACAAAAAACCGCCGCGGAGCCAGAAGCGGCAGCGGAGCTGGTAGAGCTCGGCCGCGCCACCGAGCTACGCCACGCTACGCTACGCGACGCACTGCGCGGGACATTGGAGCCGGAAGACAGCCAGACGTGGACAGCGGCGGGCACACCGGCAGGCACAGGCAGCAGAACATGCGGGAAATGCGGAGCGAGCACCGGGACGAAATGAAAAATAAATAATCACACTGCGCTGGGTGTGGCTGCTGGGCCCCGTTCGCCGATCACTTCTCATGCGGTGTGTGCAAATGTGTGTGTGTGTGGGGGGGGGGGGGTGTGTACGACCCAGAGTCGTTACCCTGCCAACCTCCGCATCCCAGCTCCCCGTACGAATCCCAGAGCCACGGTGCAGGTGAGGGCTCATGCTATGACGAGAATGCGCGCGACCGAACTGGTATTTTTAGCGCGGCCGAAAACGTTTAGCACCTCCGGCACGCCTTGCGAGAATTCTAATTATCGTTATGACAAAGCGCGGTGCCGCAACCGCCGGGCCGTTTAAGCCCCATTTTTGTGTTCGCACGCTGGCATGCCGGGTCTGGGGTCCTGGCTGGGCAAGGCTGGGTCCTGCGTGCAGCTGCCCCCACGTCGCGTGGGCGTTGGCCCGCCCTTTCTTCCGTCCGCTCGGCCGTCCGTCCATGTCTGTCTGTCTGTCTGTCTGTCTGTCTGTCTGTCTGTCTGTCTGTCTGTCTGTCTGTCTGTCTGTCTGTCTGTCTGTCTGTCTGCTGTCCGTCTATCTGTCTGCCTGTCTGTCTGTCTGTCTGCTCTGTCTGTCTGTCTGTCTGTCTGTCTGTCTGTCTGTCTGTCTGTCTGTCTGTCTGTCTGTCTGTCGCGATGACTCACTGCACCTGACAGCATAGCGCCGCACGTTTTTACTTTATCCTCGGAAATAATAACAATAAAGCCCCACGACCCGCGCCGCGCCGCGCCTACACGGTAATGAGCCATCCCCGTTACCATTCCCACGCCCACAGTGAGCATGCGCGTCCGTCGAGGCTGTGCGTGCGTTGGTACGGGTGTGTTGAGCGCGCCGCCCGTGGGTGCGAGTGTGTACGTGTGCGCGCTCGCGCGCGTTCCCCGATCTAATAGCGTCGTCTTATCTTCCTCTCGCCTGTCGGCTGGGCGGACACCGTGTTGCCTTTGCCGGCCGGGCGGACCGGAGATGAAGAGCCGGCCTCCACTAGGCCAGGGGCAGCGCGAATTGGGGGAAGAGAGAGACAGAGAGATCGCGGCGTCGCGAGGGACTGTTGACACGCCGCGCCGCCGTGCACATGCAATCCGCGTCCCTTATCCCAATTTGGTGTCCGCGTCGCGCTGCTCCACTCGGCCTTGCCGAGTCCCGTTTCCAGTGTGACTGCCCCTTCCACCTCCTTCTCTTTATCTACCTCCTCTTTCGCTGCTCTTTCTCCTCTTTCTTCTGCTTTTCCTTCTTCTCCTCTTTCTCTTCTCTCCCCTGTTTCTGCTCCTTTTCCTTTTTCTCTTCTCTCTCGTCTTCCTACTCCTATTTTTCTCCCCCTTCCTCCTCCTCTTCTTCCTTTTCTTCTTCCTCCTCCTCCGCGGTGCCGTCTGCACTGCGTGGACACTGTAACAGGATCGTTGCGTCTCTTGCACTCAGAGCCCAGTGAGTTTCTTTCCATCTGCGCGTCCGCCAATAGCAGTTGACCAAAGACTTAATTTGCAGACTTTACATTTATGGAACTGATCAAAACCTCTGATGATTTCGTCAAAGTCTAAAGCCATTATCGATACCTTAAAAGAAATATTAGATGAAATTTGCACGTGCAACGTCAATTCCTTCCTGCTAGGCTCTTGGCAGTGTAGACAACGGTGGGCAATGGTGCAGCGTGCTGCAGGCCTCAGCGGCGTGAGAATGAATGGGCAAAGTGCGCGCGCCCGCCTCACCCCACCACGCCCCACCCTGCATCGCCCCACCTCGCCCCACCCCGCCGCGACCGCAGTGAATCTTCTTTGACAACATCCACGGCGTGAGCGACGTCGCCGCCCGACATTTCACACTGCCCTATTCTTGTCGGCGCGACGCAGAAAAACACTGCGCGACTGATTTACAGTTCGGCTGCTGCCGGGAACCCTTCTTACATCTTACGGCACCTCGTGACCGCACGCTCGGCGTCGTGCAGCGCTCGGCCGACCGGCGCCGGTCTTCTGGCCCACTGTGCAGTGCCAACCCACTCCTTAAGGGTGCGAGAGAGACAGAGTGACAAGCCGACCTCCTGGATCACTCGGCAGGCAGCAGACCGGCTGAGCGCGTGGACCGGTCCCGCGGACCGCCGAAAACGCCTGCACTCCGATCGATAGGCAACCCGGCCGCAGCCGTGCCGACGGGTTGCATACCCGCCGTTACCATTACCATTAAGGGCCAGACCACACATGATCGTATGCCAGGCTGACGGGTCGCTGACAGTCCTCTTGAACTTGAGAGGCTAGACATGATCCTATTTCGGGCCCGGCTCGGTAGCGGCAATCGGAACCACCGCGGCCTGGGTCGCCGATTGAACTTGGTCAATCGGATATCGAAGACCGAGTGAACCATCTTGAGTTCGCAACCATGCGCACTCTTTGGTGTGTAACCATGTATACTCGTGAGTTTAGAACGTGCACTCTTAACGTTTGCAACCATGAACACTCCGGAGTTTGCAGAGTAGGCTGCACCGTGACCAGCCCCACTCCCTGGGCGGAGCTCTCACCTTCGCGTCCCCACGGTGCCCTCGCGATGACAAAGGGCGCCGGTATGGCCACGTCGCGTCGTCCCAGTGGCCGTAGGGTCGTAGCCGTAGGGTCGGTAGGGTCGTTAGGGTCGTAGGGCCGTAGGGTCGTAGGGTATAGGAGGGCCTTAAGAGTCGTGGGGTCGTAACCGAAGGGTCGTAGGTCGTAAGGGTCGTAAGGGTCGTTAGGGCCGCAGGGTCGTAGGGTATAGGAAGGCCGTAAGGGCCGTAGGGTAAGGCCCAGTGGCGGATGCGGAGCCGGCCAAAGTGAGGGGCAACGTAGCGATTTTTGCCAACTGAAAGGGCCGGAAAGGGTGGCTTTTTGCCTATCATTGGAGTGGATATGTAGGACTGTCCCCCCTTCTTTCCGTTGCTTCGCACTGGGCGCGCCACTCGAAGCTCGAGTCCTTCGCGTTCGTTGACGGCAACGTGGCCGCCGCGTCCCGATCTCTCCACCGCGGTCGGCGATCCCGAAGTCCCACGGCTCGGCCGCTTCGGGTCAAACCGTCCGCGAATGCCAATTTTTGGAGCGCCGCGTTCATCAGCGGGCGGGTATTGTCCGCGCGGAATGGGAAGCGCGGGGAAAGTGGAGGCAGGGCCACCCGGCACACTGAGAGTCTCTCTCGCACCGACGCGGAACTGCCCATGAGTGCGAGGGAGACGGAGCGGCGACGCTGCAGGACCCTCAGGCCGCCGCGTTGTGCAACGCGGTATGAGAAATGCAAGGCGGAATTACGATTCTTCCGAAGAGGGGCGGCGCGTTGGCGTGTCGAT